TTAGAATCACTAAGCTACTAGGAACAAGTGCATCGCTTCTAGTAACAAGTGCCTTACTAGTAGTAGCAAGAAGCTAGTAGTAACAAGAAGAATTAGAATCACTAAGCTACTAGGAACAAGTGCATCGCCTCTAGTAACAAGTGCCTTACTAGTAGTAACACGAATTAGAATTAGAATCACTCAGCTACGCTCTGGACTTCGCTGTTTGGGCCAGGAATCCAAGCGCAAGAGCGATTACAGGCCAGTGAGGGCCACCCGCCGTGTGCTGTCGTTTTGTCGTGGGCGGCAGGTCTTCCGTGCGCTGAGCTGTCGTGCTTGGACGGTTTGGATCGGCAAAGGTTGGGAGGATTTGGAGAACGCGGAGCAGAGAGGACGCAATCCGAAGAGAGCAGCAATCCAAACCTTTGCTGCTCGCACTACAAAATCTGGTGAGAGTCGGGATATCATGTTTTCTGCCAGGTTTTCGGATGATCTTAATCCACGACCCGACCATATTTGACCTGCGGCCAGACGGGCTCTGCGGCGAAGTGACCGAGACGTGACAAGACGGACGAAGGTCAGTGGGGAAGCCCAGCGGAACGTGAAGGGAAGGTGTGGTGATGTGTGGTGGTCCTTGCAACTCTGGGTACACATACGACTGTAGAGGTTGGTCAGCTGGTCTGTTTGGGATGAAGATCGTTGAAAAACATGTGTTTTGTCGTAGCAGGTTAGCGATACCCTAGCAGTCCAGTGAAAGAAACGTTTCCTCACGGAAGTGCTCTGGAAATTCCTGGACTTGGGTCACGGAGTCAGAGCATTTTGTAAATAACTGACTTGACACCCAGGGTAAATAGATCGATCTATTGATATAGACGTTTCAACACATAGTTCAACCTTGTTTTGTTGGATAGATTGTGATTGATCATGATATTTGTTTGTGGGGTCAGAACTAGGGAATAGATGTGGGGACCGTGGTCTTCCTGAGAGGCTAACAAAACGAACCCGTCATCGATTGGCCCAGAACTACCAGTGAACCCATGAAAATTAGGGGTTTTTCAAGTTTTCACTTACACAAACCTTGTTTAGTGCCAGGGAAAAAAGAAACAGGTCTTTGATGGTTTCCCGGCACTCAATGGAAGGGAGGCGAGTTGGCCTCACATCTCCGAAATCCCTTTCGCTCAGCGCAGCGATTCGCATGATGTGTTCTACCCTAAGGATCCTTAGGACCCTCCATAGCAAGGGTCGAACCCTCAATAACAGGGGTTTGTACCCTCAGGGTCCGGCAACCTCCTAGGCTGACTCCGAGGAGTTTGAGCCGCAAGTTTGACCCACTCTTTTGGTTCAGGTCCGTCCCATCTCGCTCCGAATCTTGCCAAAAAACCTCATCGGTCAGGGGACTGAGCATCGCACCGAGGCTATAAGGAGAGCAAGCGGCCGACGGAGCCGCCTCGCAGGCAGAGAGGGTGGCGCGAGAAACTTTGGGTGGTGAAATCTCCAAAGACTATAGAATCACCAGAAGTCACTGCATGGAAATCCAAAGGTATAGAGATTGACCCCTGCCCCCTCCTGCTCCCCTGCTTTGCTGAAGCAGGCTTTTTCAGGGCTTTGAGTTCAAGAATGAAGATAAGATATAAGCAGAAATGTTCGATAGGAAGGTTTGCATTTTCCAGAAACCCCAATAAGGACTTGGACTGGGGTCGACTGTTCGGACTGTTTCCAATTCCATCACCCTAAACTTGAGCGACGGAACGAGCGACACCCTCCGGGCGTGTTGAGAGGAACTGTGTTTTGGGTTGGAAGCAAAAAGAAAGTGAGGTTTGGAACAAGAGGACCTCCTGGACATCAAAACAATCATCCATGTTCAACGTGAATTGCTCAGAGTTCCAAACGTGTTTGACCCTCCAGCATTCTCAAGAAGCTGATGCGTTGGGCCGCCTGGCACCATGCACCAGCTCGTCAGGCGCGAGCCTGCTCCCGAGGTTGCAAAGGAGTGGACGAGTGGGGGATGGTTCTATCAGCCAAAAGGCATCAATAGGTCATGCAAGTGACGAGGGAGGAGTTTCGTTGTCCTGGTCCATGAAGTCCATCGGAGAATGCATATCAGATCCAAGACAATCCATGTATGGAATAGTTACCTACATTGGGGGTATTAATTGGGGTATATAACTGATATATATATATATCTATTCCATACATGGATGGTCTGGGGATATTCATGGTTGAGATCACGGTGATGAAGATCTTCAGTTGATCGATGTGAGGATTGATGATAACTGTTGATGGGCTCAGAGGGAGTCATGAGCCGAACATGAGCACCCTGGAGACCTGTTAGTGGGCTTTGCTGGATCAACTGGAATTCCTATGCTCGGTGGCATTATGCGAGATCCTTTAGTGGATTGGAAGCCAGTATTTAACAATCAGCAATACACTACACCAACTTTTCTTCACTGGCAGACTGCTCTTTTTGGTCACAGACAGATGGTCCAAATTTGTCCATGCCAGCACACCACCTGAAATTGAACCAAAGATTCAACAACGAACTGGAACTCGATGAATGTTTTTCCAAAGAAGAGTGCATTTGTCCTCAGGGTAGTCAGTGAAAAGTATGGTTCCAGCATGCCACAGCTTCATTCGAAGTCCTACAGCAAAAATAAACAAACAATGCGGACCGGTAGTCACTCAGTGAGTATGGTTGAATGATGTTGAATGACTTTGTGGCCACGCGAACTTCGTCGCACGACGACGAAGTGGTGGCTTTTGTTGAGGATCCTCCTCGACATGAGCAGGATCTCATTGAATGTTCGGTGTCAGGGGCCTCAGTGCACTCCAACTTACAGTACAGGGTACAGAATGTACAATTAGTATATATAACATATATATATATATATATACGGCACATATATTTATAGAATCCATATAGCGATTGCTTTTCATTCTGGGCCTGGTTGTGCAGAATTGTTGTTCGCGGAACATAGGTAACAGAGCAAGTGGCCACTCCATTGCTGTTGGTTATAGAACGTACTTAGGAGAGATGTTGGGTCACTTTGACTTGCATGCTCTCGTGAGCTGGTTTCTTTCAATAAAAAAACAAGTAAACTGCGATTTGGATCATGAGAAGTTGGATCTGAGGCTTTGCAACGACATCGAAGACTTTCTTGATGGTAATTTAATCAATCGTTCATGTTTTTCTTAAATGGAATTGGTACTCGAAGAAGAGAGATGGGCTCTGAGAAGTGAAGGGCGATCGAGTTCCGAGTTCGGCGCCCTGCCGCGCGTTCGTTCGTTTTGGTCGACGCATGGTGACGTGATGATCCGTGACATCGACAGGCATCACAAGAAAAGGAGTTGGGACAAGATGGAAGCAAACGAAGAGAAGAAGTGGGTCGGGGATCACAGCTTGGAAGGAGGCCGAGGGCACAAAGGTTTCTGGTTTTGCACAGGTGTCAAGGCAAGAGCAGCCTCGTAGGCAATGTTTCCCTTCATCCAGAAATCTTTGATTGGATTCATATGCTTGTAATATCTTGCAATTATACATAATATAATATATATTGCAATTATACGCATATCCCATGTATATAGGATGACTTCTATAGATTCAACAGAGGGTTTTTTGATGGTATGTCCATCAGGTAATGACTTAAATTAACCTTGTCCCAACCTTGTATACTGCCCACGGCTGATGCAGCTGCTTTCTGAACCCCTTTCCGTGCCAAAACATGCCAAGACCTGGTAAACTTTGTTGGATGCCTTGCATTTGTAAAAGATATTGCTGCAATGCCCAGAATGTAGAAGCCGAGAGGACTTGGACACTGGCAATGGCAGGTCCTTTTCCTGGCAGCATGGCTCGGTCACCTGCACAAACATGTTTTATGCCTTTTGGACGCCTTTTGTCAATACGACCAGACGCTCAAAAAAAACAACCTTGCTGTTCAAAATCAATGGTCCATGTCCGATTAAACACCAGAACACAAAACAGGACAAGAAACAAAAAAGAACACACTCCCCCAGGAGTGACATAAAGCAAACGTCGTGGTGGTGCTTAATTAGGGCACCATGGATTCGTCCCAACGGGCCGTCGATGTGACCTTCGGGCACGTCCCAGGTCTGCGTGGCCTCGTGCCCCTGCGTCGTTCACTTGGGCGGCCGCCACGGCTGGGAGACGCTGCGCAGAGCCTTGCAGAGTGGGGGGCCCAGCCGGATGGCCATGGGGGTTGGACCGGAGAGATGTTTTGGAAGAATTGGTTGTAGGAGGTGTTCACATTGGGCTTCTATTGGAAGAGGTAAGGTATGTTATATAACTATATATAACTAGACTATACTGTATGTAGTTGTATAATGTTATATATAATTTTGAGAATCATGCCACATACCATCAAGAATCTGTGTTATAAATGTTTATATACAACCTCGTAGTAACGGCTCATATGTAAAGACTTGTGCATGTGGGGGCAGGATGGACAACATGTAAAGTGCAGTCTTGGTTTGTGTCCTTTTGTTCCCTTCAAGTCTTTGCTGCAGAGTCAATTACATGCCAAATTTGGTGATGTTTGACCTTGACACGAGAGACTGTATGTGGGATACCTTGGAGGCACTAGTCCTATATAACTATTAAATTTGGTCAAGGTCCATTCAAGGTATGATACATAAGAGTTGGAGGTGCTGAGACATCCAAGATGTATGTTGTTGAGCAGCTATGTGAGCGGCTTTGTGAAGGGGCCAGCCGACCACTTGATGGGTGGCATGAACATGCGTTATGTTTGTATGTGCTGGGTCAAATCCTATGTAGCTGTTTTGTGGCGCAATGTGGCAATTGGAATGCAAGAAGAGCACAGTAGGAGAATCTGATGGTGAAGTGCTTCCCCCGTTGTGTTTCGCCATGAACGAGAGTTGCTTCAGTCGTTGTTGAAGTGGGACTTCTTGGAGGAAAGTCTATGACATCAAGAGGTTTCATGTGCCACGCAGGATGTTTCGAGTCGAGTCCTAAAGGAATTCCAAGTGCTTTGGGGTGACACAGGCTGAGCTGTTGTGGCTCTCCGAACAAAGCGGAGTGTGAGGTCGTGGAGAGGAGCTTTTGCTCGAGAAGCTTGAGGCGAATCCTAGCTTCGGCGGTCGATAGACCGACATACTGGATCACCCAGCGGTTGATGGCTATCGAATCGTGAATCTTGGGTATCCTTATTTCCTGCGTAATATTCTGGGAGATGTGGCAATGAGTACATATTATCAACCCCCATGTGCCAGGCACTTTTGCGAATCTCATGCCACCAAGACAAAGAAACAACTCAATATTATGACAGTTGATGACTCTGATGACAGTTGGCACTCGATATGGGAATAGCTGTGCTTTAGGGAAAGATAATAAATATGTTCCACATTTCTTCGGTTGTTGTTGTTGCTCCTGTTTTTGTTAGCACATGCACACCGAGCCCAGAACTCCCCCCCCGAGCCCGTTCTCGCCCGTGTGACAGGCCCTGGTATTGGCGGAATCCACCGAACCCGAAGGCGCTGGATCCAGACCAGCGAGTTGGTTGTGCCTAAACCTCCTGACAATCATTGATTTATACCTGAGTCGTAATTTGCAAGCAAGCCCACCACCCAGAAATTCGAGCGAGCTAGGACGGTTTTAACAATCTTGGAAGCTTAGGGTAAATAATCATACATGAAATGCGTTGTTTGTTGTAGCTTCATATTTATAGCTGTATAATCAAGTGTGTCAGCACGTCAACAAACAGTACTTTGTTTTTGGTGGAATGGACAACAAGATATGGATCTTCCCAATGCTACTGATACCCACCTTAAACAGACACCCTCGTGATGTCAGGCATAACAAAAGTGGCAAACACAGACGGCTCTTTTCCCGTGGTTCTTCGGCAAGCCACTTGGTTCTTGCTTCGAAGAAGGCCATGGCTGTGTGCCTCACCGTCATCTCGTGTCCTCGCAGGTAGCCTTGGGCTGGACACCGAGGTGGCGCAGGTCATTGCGTGTCACACGGGCACAGATCAGGATGATACCAAGTTTGCAAATGTCTGACTGGGCTTAGGAGATATACATGTGAAACCCGTGCCAAACTTTATGTTGCTTAGACTTGTTTCGCACACTCACTCTGACTCAAACTCTACTCTAACTCATTCTAACTCTACTCTAACTCCATAGCTCATTTTGGCTCTACTCTGACTCTGCTCTGAGAGACACGTTGAACACTACGTGAGGCATTTTGTTTTGCGATATGTTTGCAGCGTTTCACATCATTTCACATCAATTCCTGGACAACTAACCTGCCAGTGTTCGAACACTGCACAATGGATTCGGAAACAAAACATGGTTACAGCCTTGATTCTTACCAGCCTTGCTCGGCCGTGGTACTTGTTCACCTCTTTCTCTAAGCCAGGCGCGGCTTGAAGCGCTGCCTCCACCACAGGCGCTGCAGGAGACGACGCGGCAGGCGTCGCGGCGTCAAGACGGCGAGTGGAAAAGGTAGACTCTGGATGAATGAAACCACCTCCATCCACCTCCTATTTGACTTGAACAACCTCTTCAAACATAAGGGGGGGTCTTTAGTAGTATTAATCACGAGTCTAAATTACAGAGATTCGTTGAAGTCGTAGCTCGAACTGGGAACATGCAAAGTTTGCTGGCAGAGTTCCAATTTGCAGGAAGAACTGTTTCTTTCTGAAATGCCAGCAAACATAGGAACGCAAACCAGCATGGAAGTGCAAAAAGGCCTTTGAGAAGACTATGTTCCTCTACAAACTGGAGATGGTTTCCGCTCGTTAGTGAGGAGTGTATTTCCCACTGCCCTGAGGAGTTGAGGAGTTCAAGCCTAAACCCATTTATATAACATTCGTTGAGTCATTCCTTAAAGTTCCAAAAGAACTGCACAATGAGACCGAAAACTTTTAAATGCAGATATTACGTGTGCACAGCCCAGGGGTAGACAGAATGTCTTTCAGTCATTTGATACAATGTTTGCATTATTTTGGATAACTGTTTTGCGGCCACTACATGTGTTTGCACATAATTTTGCCAACATAGGCAAACCATTGGAAACCGGAGGGCCTAAGTCTTTTGTTCTATATTTGTATTTAGGAATAGTCGGTCAATTCTGATTACCTTGAACTACCTTGAAGCACTTTTCTCCGACATCCTTTGGGATCAATCCCAAGTTCCTCCATTTCGTGCAGCACCTTTGTGCACCTTCCGACATGCATGTCGTTCATCAAGCTCAGATCCGCCGATTGTCCGCCGATCTCGAGGCGCTTCCACCGGTGGCTCCATCTCTTCTGGTGGCGGCTCCGGAGGCTTCCGCGGCAGGACACGGACGTTTTGTGCATGGCAAGATCACACTGTAAAAGACATGGACCAGATGGTGTCTTTTTTGTGGACCTGTGTGTGGAGCACTTGTGGATCACAGTTTTTTTGGTGATCGTGTGAAGGGAGCCCCCCTGCATGACATAGCCGAGTGCCCGCGAACTGGACACAGCTTCGCGAAATGGAATGGAGAAAATGTTTGACTTAGTTTCAACCATGGAGGGCAATAACATGGAATGACTTGACTATACATTGTGGGCAAGGATTGAAAGTGATTAACACATTGTTTTCATGTAAAGTGAGTGTTCATGTGGTTTTCTGAAGCTCTTGGTCTCCTCCAAATTCCTCAGGTCACCGACTTGCACGTGCTATTCCGGAGATCTGGAACGATCTCGGGGAGGAAGTAGCCATCCTCACGTAGATACAACATGCAACATGCGGCGTTGGATCAAAACCAGGAGACCTTGGTGGAATTATCTGGGAGGTCCATCTACATGGTGGACCAGGGCTCCAGGTTGTGACCCGCTTCCATGTCGCAAGAACGTGGATACATGCCATCATACGCCTATACCATCATACACCTCATTTGCCTCGTGTTGCTAGAAGGTCTTTGTCTATTTCCCCTATGGATGCATCCTCTTCTGGTGATTTTGTTTTCTTGTGTTTTTCCCGGCTCCTTAAGCAAATCCAAGTTTGTCATTGCCTTAGGACCCATCAAGCGGTACTCGAAGTCAGCGTTACCTGAACATTGTGTTCCACGTGTTTGGTTCTAAGCTTACCCATGTTACGTCCTGCACTGCAGGTGTTTGATAGAAGGTTTGTTTCTCCAGATTTGGCCCACCTGAGACCCAGCGGAGTGTTGAATCTCCAGTGATATATGTTTTTTGAATAAGGGTCATTTTGTGCATACTTGCAGGCTCACGGGTCGGGTCTTCAGTGTCTTGACTCCAGCGAGCAGGTCGTGGCTGCTCCAGCTCCTGCTCCAGCTCCTCCTCCTGCTCCTGCTCCTGTGAAACATCTGCTGGAAGGGGAGATCGACCCTAATGATTTGTGATGAAGCCTAGCAAAATTGCAGGCACCAGCGTGAATGCGGAGAAAGAGTGCGTGTGGTTTTAAGTGGATGGGGTGTGGAAAAACATGGTCACCGTCGGGTTCTGAGTCTTTTTGCTGATATGTTACCAGACTATGCCAATTTTTATATATAAATAACTCTAATACTCTTTTTTTGGTTTGGTTGGTGATTAACTTGCTTGTTCTTGTTGGGGATTTGTTTAACTCTCACAGAAGTTTTGTTCAGGCTCGGTCTAATTCTCAAAGCAACGCGTTCATCTTGAGCACCCTTGTGTATTGCTATGTAGATTATTGTTTCACCTCCAAAATCGTAGCACATCTCACACTTAACGACCTCGCAAATCACCGACCAAAGCCGACAGCTTAAAACAAATATAGAAGCAGAAGCCCAAATGAAAGCAGAACGGGAATCGAAAGGACATAGAGTCCCATATATAGCTTCGATCCAGGTACCTCCTTTTCGGATGGTCGAACGGAGGATTTCGTACGTACGAAACCAGAGACTGGTCTTTCACTGGGGCCGACAGCAGGGCATCCGAGATGTCTCGGATCCTGGACCCTTCGGCAGTCGTGAAAATCACATACAACTTACAACTGTATTACAAAACCATAAGTTGCAGGATAGAAGCAGCTTGGCAGTTCATGACTTCAATCCAGTTTTGTTTTACGCAGCTGTTGTGTGACAGGCTCAAGTAAGCCATTGGTGTTGAGGATGCATCAAGCTGCAGTTCTCAAGATGTGGACACCCAAGCACCGACAATCATTCGGCTATCCGGGAAAAAGATGGAAAATGGAGAACAATCCTAAAACCTGACAGGTCGCTGGTTCCTAGTCCAGGTCATGGGGTCCCAACATCCCACTGAACACATGAAAAGTTGGCCTTGGTCGAAAGCTGTTGCCCTTGTTGGGGATTCATGTTCTGAGATGTTCTGAGTCACATCCGAGATCTGATCAAGGTTCCAAGACATGGCTGACCATGGCTGAACTTCAGAAAGCGTCCTCCAGATGCAGCTAGTGGACAAACGTTTCAGCAAGCTGGTGGGTACATTTGTTTTCCTTCGAATACATTGGCCGATATGATGTGGATGCATCTCAATCCCTTGAAATTGCTTTGTTGGCCCACATTTCAGGGGCATAGACAGCCCGGCCACCAGCTGTTGGACAAACACGGAGACATGTGCTTCGCCTGCTCGCCTTCCATGTTGGCCATGTTGTGATGAGTGACGGGTGTCTCAGATGGGCCGCATGATGGACAGTTTTTTGTTTTTTCCGAATGACTTGCCTTTGATGGACAGAATTATTTTCGCAACAACTGGGAGATGCCAGAAAGCTTTGGAAAAACAACTGGAAGGTTTGCATGTGAGGTGGAGTCAAGGGTCTTTCAACACTGAGAATTGGATCATGGCGCAAGTGTTTCCACAAATTGTGGGTTCATGTGTCGGATGATCTAATGATCTCGTTTTGAATGTATGTATGTACCACCGCGAACACTTGTGAACGGAGTCAAAGCTGATCATTAGGAACGCACTTCTTCCAGGGGTAATGGGATGTCATTGCATGTCATTGCCATATGGTTTTCTTTGTTTCACTTTGGTCGCCCTTGCACAAGTAATCATTGACGCATCCAAATACCTCGCTGCGTGCGACAGTATACAGCAGAATACCAGAACATCTCCAGAACATCACGGGCATTGACGAGCATGATGTGGGTAGCCAGACTCACACGGACCCCCTCACCATGAAAAAGGTTTATGGGTAGCTGTACAGGGTCCGATGGCCTTTCTATGTGTTCTGTTCAATCATTCAGTATTCGGAATGCATGAGAGATCTGTGAACATGTCTACCAAAGTCCCTGGCTTTCTTCCACTGCGAACTCGATGCCTGCGTTGGAAAGTCTGAGCTTTGACCACACGGAAAATTCAGGCAGGCCGCCCCACGCCAAGCCTGGTTGGCTTCAAACGTTTGGCACTTAGATCCATGAAAGGCAGTGTTTGATTGAGCCCAGTTCATTGCAGTCCGGACGGTTGTGTTTGGCTGATTCACCGAATCCAGGCAAAGCACGTCCTTTACATATAGGTCATCAATGGTTGAACAAGGGAAACCCTACGTAGGCCGACCGGAACGAGGCTCCTGATTTCTTACAAGCGGAGCCACTAAAAAAGCTAAGTACAGATTGTGGATGATTGTGGATGATTGTGGCGGTTTGATTCAGCACAGGGGGGGGGCGCGTTGTTTTTCAGAAAGGGTCACTGTCCGACTGCCAGCGGGGTGACCGCTTTTCGGTCGCCAGCACCTGGTAGGTCGGTGGGTCGGCGTGACCAAACAGTCGGGTTGAAATGGAAGTCTTCTTAGTCTGACTCAACAGACCCATGCAGCATGGTGTCCACCACCCTGGGTCAGCACTATCCAGACGTACTTGAGGGACCGGAGTTGAGACCCCAGACCCCAGACCCCGATGAGGGTCCAGGAGCGTTTGGGTACATGAGTTGTTTCACAAGACTGGCCCTGAGGTGAAGTGCTCTCATGGGATTTCTACAAGGACGCGGAGCAGCAGAATTTATGTCTTTGAACATCAGCAGCAATCAGGCTGAACTGATTCTGGCAACGCCAACATGGCAGCATGGCTTTTTGTTTTGTGATCTATATCAGCAATGCTTGTTACAGGGCCATTTTTCACTGGATTGAGACTGACTCTTTGGGGGTTACCCTGGCAGGCGCCAACATTTCGGAATCTTCCTTGATGGGAGGGTAACACACCCGTACCTCAACTAAACGAGCAATTATCTCGGTTGTTTTTTGTCAATACAGTATAGTAACATAGTCCCTTGTGGCACTGATATGCACTGATACTTTGGACATGGGGGGGCTTGGTAGATTGTTTCAGCCAGGTGAGCGCTCCATGTTTTGGTTCTGACAAACATGCCATTGGCTTAAGAACATCGGAAGAACAAACATGTCCTGTCCAGTTCTGGATTCCTTTTGGGGAGTTTGATCCAGGTGTTACTGTAGATATATTAAGATATGATCAGCTAGACATGTCATACTTCCTGGAAACAAACATGAACAAATAAGAACATTTAGCGAGAATTGAGAATATAGGTATTTATGTGATACCATAGAATCGACCTGGTTGTACAACTTAGTCCCGGGCTTCACCAGTGTTTCCCTTCCTTTCAGTGCTCTGTTGGGCGTTCATGTTACTGACAAATAACAATATTGCAGAGGTTGATCTTTGGCAAATCGCCACAAATTATCACTGTAGTTTCAGAGTTGTGAGGGTAAGGGTGAGAGTCTCTCTATTTTGGCTACTGTTTCCGCCGATGGAGGATGTCTTCGACGAGCAGAAAAAGATCCAAGAAGAGGTGCTACCTCGAATGTTTGGCCCCCGATGGTCGCCATGAGCCTCTGGGCTTCAATGAATCAATGGATTCCAGCTGTTTGGTAATAAAAGGTGAAGCGAATCATCTAGTCCTAGGGCTCCAGGTTTTGACCCATCCCAACATTCAGTCACTTTATAGAAAGGAGTCATCAAAACCTGTTTGCAGTGTGTGTCAACATGGTTTTCGATTTCATTAGGCTGATATCAATCATGAAAGAACGCGGGCAGGAAGTAAAGGCCAAAAAAGAGCTGGACAGCCAGAAATTGGATGAGAAAGAGATCGAGGAGCCTCGATTTACTCGGCCGAGAAACCACCAGCTTTTGGACCCCAAAACCCTTGAGACAAACGGAAAAGCGCATGAATACCCACTGGTTTAGGGTAGGTTCATGGGACATCCATCATAGGACCATATTATACCATATTTCTAAAAAAAAAAGTATCCTTGTACAACGATCATCGAAACCAAGGCGTGTCGACAGTCTACTAGTATTTATAGTACTTGGGGACCTCCACATTAGATGCTCCAGGTAGAATTCACTTCTCACCTGATGAGGTCTGATCAGGCCTCACCCACCCGACCATACCCCACGGCCGATTCATGATGCATCCCTCAAACCAATCCCAGCGGCCCAACGGTGAAGATCAAGCACCGCCACGCCGGCGTCACGCGACCGATGGGTGTGTGGTGTGTGGTCCGTCGGCGGTCCGAACGAACTGCTGGCGGTTCACAGTTCTTTTTGAGAAGACTGGAGTCACTGGAGTCATGAAGATGCCAGTACTGCTTTGATCTGATTTGTTCTTCGTGTCCAGTGCTTGATCACTCGGAGGTTCCATGTAAGGCAACATCTACTCAAGAATTTTGAGTTGTTCAGGAGTTCTACTTCCAGGAGCGGCTGAAGAACCTCACCAAGGTGTGGATGTTGACATCATTTTGGGCCTGGATCTCTGACGGCCTCAAATATCCTCAAACTGTTTCTGTTTGTCAATTGTTCAAGCTGATTTACATGAACTGCGTATGAACTGCGTCGACAAAGCCACCTAGTGGTCAAAAAGGCGTCGTGGTTGTCTCTTTGTGTCGCAAGTGGTGGAGGAGAACCTGTGGCAAACGTTTGTTGGTCACTCAGACCTCCGGGCAAAGGATTTTCCGGATCGGCCAATAGATCCGATCACACCGTAAACGCCTTCTTGTGGTTGGGAGCATGACGGTTCTGATGCTGGTGGCCGACCAGAATGTTGGTTTGAGGGTCAAGGAATCGGTGGTTGACGCGGTTCATACATGTCAATGTTTTACCGGCCTCGCTTTGCTGACTCCGCGGGAGATCATCTTCACATATCTTTATTAGCTACTAGCCCTGGCAGGCGCAAGCCGAGAAGGAGAAAAGGAAGATTGCTGCTTTGCTTGCATCTTCATCCTGTTTTCTCATTTACCCCAATGACCATGATCCACCCAGGACCGACCAAAGAAAGCCCCGTCTTTCTTCTCGACAGGTGGCTAACTTGTGGGTTTCGAACGGGGAATCCCAGCAACCAACCATCTTCTGGCAAACAAAGTGTGTTTGGACTCCAATGTAATTGTATTCTAGGTGTACTTACTTAAAAGGAG